CTGTTCCACAACCAGGACAGAAGCCACACTGCTCCTTCTGAATCCAAAGTTTGACAATTGGTTGGAACCTCCCTTCCAGCACCCTGAAGTAAACTTTTCTGAAGAGGGCAGTGTCCAGTTTTAAACTGGGCTTAAGACTTTCCTTTTTGATAAATCCTATAGTTAGGGTTGGCTTGTTATGCTGCTATAGGCTTAGACTACTAGAGGAGAAAGTGACCTCATTTCTTTAAATGAATTGTTAAAATTGAATAGTTTTCATTTGATATTATTTCTATCTTAACATGAGCCTGCCATTGTGTATCCGATCCTCCTTCCTGTCCTCTCAAACCCAGCAGTCGAAGCAGATGGCTACTTGTCCTCAGCCTGGTTCTGCTGGCAGTTTATTCCTCATGAGGTAGTTTTTCCTTTCCACTGTCGCCTTCATGCTTGCTCAAGATGAGAGTCTGTGATGAAGTTAAATTCAAAGCAGTCTGCTCCTCTGATAAATAATGTTAACTTGTTTTTATATATAGTAGTTAACTTGTTTTTATATATAGTAGTCCTTCATTTATCGCGGGTGTTAGGTTCCAGGCCCCCCCGACATAAGTAAAAAACCGTGAAGTAGGGATAGTAGTACAAGAGACGAGAGGCGAAGCAAGACAGCAAAGAGTTAACCTTTCACGTAGAAGATGCAGCACAGAGCAGAAATGTACTTCTTGATCAATTACACTGTAACAACTAAACAAAGAAGTTCTAAAATAATTAATAATAACTTTTAACACTTTTATTTTGTAATTATGACGAGTTTACGTTGTGACATACTTTGAACTTTAGGTTGGAAGACAAAAGTCGATCAGTGCAGTTGGACAGCGAAGCTTCTGCAGCACGGAGCAGAAATGGACATTTTTAGGTTTTAAACTTTAAAGAAATTGTATTTTCTGTACTTCAAACATGCTGAAATGTAGCTGAAATGGAAGAACAAGCTTAAGTTAGCAGAAAAAGCAGAAAAAACACATATTTTCTGAATCTGGTTTAAAGAAGCAGAAATGAGCAGATAAATTAGTAAATTAGCTAAAGCAAAGCTGAAATTAGCAAGAAATAGCTGAAAAGTAGCTGAAATGGCAGAAAGAAGCCTAAATTACCAGAAGAACAAGGAGAGAGCACAGTTGTGCACAATTTGGCTGTAAGATGCAGAAATGTGCACATAAAGTGGAAATTCTCTGAAAAAAAACAGAAATTTACAATTTTTAAAAAATAAATACATTTTAAATAAACAATCCACGCTGCATGGATTGTTTATTTAAAATATTA